AGCAGACATTTTACTACAGGGACCGTTCTGTAAGAGACGAGCCCGTTAGGGGTCTGCAGAGTGAGCACAGATCGTCTTTAGGGGCTGTTGCCTTCTGAGTGATGTCAGGAGCGTAGCCCCAGGTTTATGCTTAGTTGGGGTGTCTGTCCTGGGAGCCAGACTCATGTAGTCCAGGACCAGACACAGTAGGAAGGCCGGCCTGAACACGGGGACCCAAGTCGCATGTCCCCAGGTGGCTCCGCTGGGAAGTATTCCAGCAGTTGCCAAGGAGTGGCTAGTCAAGTCGGGTCCCTGGGACTCATGTTTAATGGGGGCAGACCTACCCCTGAGGCATCAGGCAGTCGTGGAGACGGACCGTGGTGACGGTTACACAGCAGCGTGAACATCCGTCGCACTACCGCGCTGTGCTTGTAACAGGGACTGAAATGGCAAGTTATCTTTGGGGGTTTTGGGTTTTGTTTTGTTAGTGTTTTTTGGTTTCTTGCTTGTCTCTTTTGTTTTTTGTTTTTTTGTTTTTGTGGGAAGCAAAGCCAAATTCATTGAGCGATAGTACAAAGCTCCCCAAGAGGGAGGAGAGCTGAGAAGGTGGTCCTGAACTGGCAAATTTTATGCTCCTCTGTTTCCCGCTGTTAGAACAGAGAGAGACAGAGAAGCAGGAAGGAAGGAAGGTGAGTGAGTCACCGGCAAGCCAGAGGGAGCCGGTCCGTGTTAATGAAGGGAAGGGACTCGGTGTTTTATAGTGAGTGGGCGTCCTGTCCTCGAAATGAAGTGGTACCGTCCCTGTTTATGTTTTGCCCAGATTGTACAAGGTGACAGCACCTTCCCTGCCATGAGAGTCAGCCACCGCGGTGTGGGAGGGAGCAGAACAGGGGGGATAATTGGGGTCTTCTCTCGTCCGTGTGGTGGCCAAGATTCTGGACGACTGGTCCCCCACACAGGGCTCCTTGGTAGCACGTCAGGATGACTCACTCCCGCAACGGTTGAACAGCTTCCTTCTTTCCCCAAATATTTACTGAGCCCCGGCTGTGCACCACACTCAGCCAGGCCCTGGCAGTTCGGAGCCGCAGGGTGTGACTCCGGCCACAGAAGAGCCCACTGTTCGGTACGTGAGTGGCGCTGTCGTGCCCGGTGTTGGATTCAATATAGGGTGTAGCAAGCGTTCATAGAGACCGAAGTTTCACGTGGCTCGGGCTTCAACCGAGGGCCAAGAACACTGGATCCCGTCCCTTCCCTCGCGGCCCTGGGGCATGAGACGGGGCTTCCTGGGTTTAATGATCGACCTTGCCCACGAGCTCCTGCCCTGCCCCACCACCTGCCCGAGAGCGTGAACAGATGAATGAGTGAGTGAGTGAGTGAGTGAACAGAGACTCGGTACTGGGGGCAAGTGTGTGCGTGCGTTTCTGTGTGTTCGTGGATATCCGCGGTGTGCGGGGCCCTGGGATTCCACGGAGAGAAGGCAGGGACTCTGCACCTGCCTGCAGGTTCGTCTGGGTTTTCAACAAGCACAGCACTAAGGTCCACCAGTAATGGGGTTTTTCCTCTTTACAGTCCTTCTCCGTTCTTACCCTTCTGTGCTGCCTGTGGTCTGGCCCAGCTTTGGACGTGAATCTCGGAGCACTTCGCCAGATGAAGAACTTTCCCATCTGTCCTAGTTTGCTAACTTAAAAAAAAAATTGTGAACATGTGTTGAATTTTAGTCATGCTTTTCCTACATCTTTGAGGTAATCATAATTAAAAACCTTTTTACATTTTGATTTTTAAAACATAAATTTATTGAGATACATTTACATACAACAAAATGCATCCCTTTTTAGTTTCGAGTTAGTGAGCTTTAAAAACCCGTGCATACACGTGGAACAGCCACCTTGATCGAGGTGTGGGATGTTCTGACTCCCGCAGAGCTCCCCCCTGCCCCTTTCAGCGAGTTCCCCATCCCGTGTCCGGAGGCGACCATTGACGTGCCTTCGAGAGAGTCTCTTACAAACGTAATCTTGTGGTAGTGCCGTTTGGTATCGTTCTCCTTCCCGGGCGTATTTCTAACCCGCAGTCAGCGTGTGGGCACTAGCAGTGCCCACGGTGTCCCGTCATAACCTTGGGCCCTGATTCGTCTCTTCTCCGGTTGACGGACGTATGAGTTGGTTCCAGCGTGGGACTGTGACACACGTTTGCATTCGAGCGTTGACGTAGTTGTGCGTCTTCCTCTCTCTTCTGTGACTGGGTTACGAGGTGGCGTGGTGCATGTACGCTGACCTTTCTGAGAAGCGGCCAGCTTTCCCCCCACAGAGTGGCTGGGCTGTTGTACGGTTCACAGCAGCCCCGGGCGGATCCATGGAGCGGGCTGGCCTTCACCGAGCCGGTCTGGGTGGTCTGTCACGATAGACCCAGCGGCTGCGTGGTGGGCTCTGCTGCTGGTTTTGTGAACATTTTCCTCTTGACCAATGAGGAACGTCTTTCCGTGCACTTATTGGCCATTTCCGTAGCAGCTTTTCCAATGTGTCTGTCCTTGGCCTTGCACACTGTTTAAGGTTCGCTTGTTTGTCTTACTGAGTTATGAGAATTTTTAAAACACGCTGTGCGTGCGTGTCCTCTGTCAGACACCTGTGTGTGTTTCTTGAATATTTACTCCTGGTGTCTTGTCTTTTCTTTTTTGTACCTGTAGCTTTTAAAGAGTGAAAGTTTTAATTTTGATGATATTTTTGAATTTATTTTTATTTTCTTTTTTATTTTCTTGCAGTTCATACTGTTTGTGTTCTAAAAAATTTCTGTCTGTCCCCAGGGTCATTAGAGACTTTTTCTCCTGGGTTTTCTTCCGGACGTGTTGTAGCTGTAGATTTTTACGTGATGTGTGTCATACAGTTGGTGTTGGTTACTTTTGTCTCGTTAGGTCCGACCTTTCATTCCTGACATCCGCCCAGCATGGACTCGGTGTCATTTTTCACAAGTCGCTGGACTCAGCTTGTTAATACAGTGGACCCGGGACAGCATGGCTGGAACCGCACATGTCCACTTACATGTGGTTTGTTTTGTTTTGTTTTGTTTTGTTTTTTTTTTCAATAAATACAGTACTGAAAATAATTGTATTTTCTTTTCCTCGTGATTTTCTTAATGACATTTTCTTCTCTCTGGCTCACTTTATTGTAAGAATACAGCCTACAGTATAGACAGTATACGAAATGCTTGCTGACCAGCCTTGATCCACGGTCGGTCGGTAGCCGCCGTGCGCAGGTACATTGGGGGGGTTCGGCGCCCCGCCCCTGGTCACCTGCACTTCATTTCTCCATCCGTGTTCATTGGTGACATTAGCCCATGGTCCTCTGTCTTCCGCCCAGAATAAACTTGAGTAAGTCAAACGATTTGCTCTTCAGGTGTGAGTGGAACTCTCCATACGGCTGTCCGGAACTTGAGTGGACAGGGACTCCTTGACCGAGAAGAGGGGGTCTTCAACGCTTGGAGAGCGGTGGTCTGGAGACCACCTCTCTCTGACGATGGCCCAGAGCGGTATGTGGAGATGCGGGAGAGAGACTGCACGGTGGCTACAGGGCCGGGCCGTCAGGGATGCACTGTCAACTCCCATAGGAGTCAGAGGCCTGGTGCGTTCTTGGTGGAACTATCAGAGAAGATGCCCAAAGGCTCTTTATGCCCCGGGGATCACTTAGGCGCCTGGTACTGGGGCAGGGTTGGCCGGATCCCCGGAGGCTGGGCAAAGCCGGTCTGAATAAGGAAAGCCTTCGTAGGCCGGCTGTCCTCGTATTCTGGCAAAGGAATGGAATGAATTCTTGCTTCCTGAGAGATGACCAAAGCTCTGTCCCAGAGAAAGATCCTTAGAACTAGGCTGAGTTCAGATCTCCCCTGCTGAGGGCAGCTTCTGTGATGTCCTCTCCCTCCCCTCACTCTGCTGCTGGAGTCACCCTCGCTCCCACATCAATGAGCTGCTGACGGTGACTGAGATGTGGAGCCTGTCCCAGGCCGGTATCACGGCCTTTCCTGTCTGTATTTTATGAGGCACTGGTGTGTGTATTTTATGAGTCACGTATTTGGGGAGTTAAAGCAGAAGGCCTCAAAACCACCCTGAAATGCCGACAGAGGGTGCTGAGTGGGGCGCTTTGGGAGCAAACCTGGGGTGAGGTGTTGCTCTCCCCTGAGAATGAGCCGGCAGGACATTTGAGCTGTCTCTGGCCATTCAGTGTGTTTCTGCGCGTCTTTCTGCTGTGGACGGTGAGGTACAGCGGTCAAGGGGGGCCACAGGTCAGTGTTTCCAGAGCCCTGCAACAGAGGGATTCCTGTGTGTTCACAGGACTTCTGCCACCATGAAGCCCGGGGAATGCGCGGCACCGGTGTCTGAGTGCCAGTCGCAACAAAGACCCTGTTTCGTGCTCATGGCCGTGTAGGTCATGACTGTCCCAGTCGGGTCAGGCTGCCGCTGGGCTTTGAGGCGAGGTTAGGGTGTTTGTTCTGGGGCCCAGACTGAAAGGGTAGCGGCACCCAGGGTGCATGCTTACAGCTGATCCCAGGAGCACCGAAGGCCAAGCCAGTCACACAGACCTCGGGAACACTTTGGCGTGGGGCGTCTTTGGACTTTGCAGTGACAGAGCAAGAGCGTGGCCAAGCCAGTCCCCCTGTGTCGACCAGGGAGGGGTGGGGTCCGCTCTCGTGGCAGGTCCTTGAGAGTGTCCTGCAAGTCACCCGCAGAGCACGTGGTGTCTGGGCCCCCAGCTTGGGGAACGGGACCCCCAGGAAGTTCAGGGTGCATGTGTCATCTGCCAGGCATAGTGTGCACGGTGCCCAGTGTGGGACGGCGCTCCCGTGTCCGACTGACCGAGTGAGTGTCCGCCCACCGGAGGCCCTGGTGGGAGTCCGTACAGAAAAGTGTGAAAGTCGGCGCGCTGAAAGGAGCCACAGGTCTTACCAAATTGCTCATAGACCGGCGTTAGAGGACTGTCGTCCTTGCATGCGTTTCTCTGATTTTATTGACATTTTGCCTGAATTCTGTCCTGTTTCAGGGAAATAGTGGAACATATGGTCCAGCACTTTAAAACACAGATCTTCGGGGATCGGAAACCAGTGTTTGATGGAAGAAAGAATCTGTACACAGCAATGCCCCTTCCGATCGGGAGGGATAAGGTACGTTTATGGGCATGAGTTTGGGTCAGACGACGCGCAATGAAGTAAAATTCAAACATGTTGTCACCTGATCAATCACCTGGGAGGAAGGGGTGGCCGGCTGCTGGGTGTTTCACCCCGAGACCCGGAGAAACGTCCTTCCCCGTGTTGTGCTCTCCTGGGTCGGGGGGGTTGGCCAGGTGCAGAGACAGGAGCCGAGAGCTTCGCGGAGCTACACACACACCCCGCACACGCAGGCGCGGCGCCCTCAGACCGGAGCCCAGATCGCATGGCGGGACCGCAGAGACCTGTGGAGAGCACGTGCACGGGGCCGGGATGTGCGTGATGGCGGCGGTGGGACCCAGGCAGCCTGTGTTCTCCTGCATGATAATCACTGAGCATTAATCACCACAGATCCTGCTTGTATGAAAATGTCACCTTTTCTGATTGTTTTTGTTGTCACGGCTTTACTTGAAGAGTCATACAATTTCTGCCTAGAAGTTGTCGCTTCTTGGCACGTCTTCCAACAACTGGGCTGGTCTGGGATGGTAACGGGTCGTGTTTATTAATAGAAGAAGAGTGAAGCTCAGCTCAGACATGAGCTTCACACAGACTCTAAAAACAACACAGCAGAGAAACAACCTAACGACTTCCTGCTCCCGGTGAGAGCGGTAAAGACGATTGCCTTTGAGAACGACCCGCCCAGTCAGCTGCTCCAGCCCCGTGTCCCTGGGAGGGAGTGCGGCTCGGCGCTTAGAGACTCAAGCCAGCACGTTGCGGGTTCCTCATGGGCATTACATGGTTTTGCTTTTCTGTTTTTTGTTAATCTTGACGTGACTCAGCCCCTTGCACGCGTCCGACTTGCCAGGAGAGTGGGGGTTTGGGCGCCCGGCAGCGCCACTTGGACTTGGCCACGCTCTGATACCCGTGAAGTACGTAGCCGCGGGGGAGGCTGCACAGTGATAAGGGCCCCTTGCCAGCTGGTGTCAGGGGACCCCGAGATAAAAGCGGGCAGGGCTGTGACACTGACGTTCTGAGTCCGAGGGCGTCGCGGGGCCCTTTGCCTGTCCGTGGAGTTGGGATCCTGCCTTGTGAAGAAACCTGCTGGTGCGTTTGGAATGTATTGATTGTGAAGTTTTTAATTTGCACATTTGTTTTTGTTTAAAGTTGTGTAAGAAAAAAAGCAGAAGGAGTTTATTCACAGTTTATCTGTACACATTTATAATTAGACACTAGGCGGGGCATAGGAACATTTCTCCTTCAGAAGGGGTGGGGGAGTCCTACAGCATTCGGATTTGAAACTCGTCGTTGGAGAGGTGAACCGGGCTCTGGGGTGAATCGGGCCTCGCGTTGCCCTGTCCTGGGGTGGGACCTGGGCTGAGACATCTTAAAACCCTGAGTGCTGTGTCTGTGAAAGGGGGGTGTACACGGCATCCGCCTCCCGGGGTTCCTGTGAGGACTCAACGAGCCCCGCCAGGAGCAGGATCTCCCCTAGTGATGAGCTGCCTGTGGCCCTGACGCCTGACCTGGGGGAGTGGGAGGCCGCATTTCTAAAAAGCAGCCCTGCATGATGCCCTTATGTCTGGTACCGGATCGAACTTTGAGTCGTCAGGGTGTCAAGTCACAAGGACGACACACCCAGCAGAGACGGGTGGTGTGGTTGGTGGTCTGAGAGGTGGGGATGGGTCCTCCACGCTCTCTCCTGTGGGTTCAGCTATGAGCACAGAGAGCCTGCCCCAGGCCACTGCCGCGTGTCATTTTTCAGTTTCTGTCCAACTGTTGGGATACTTGGACGTTAATCTCTTCTGTGTAAGAGCAGATACGATGTGGCCCCTTTTCCTGCTCCCACGTACTCACCTCTTGTAGCAAATCATTTCTTGTTGTTTTCTTTTTTTTTTTTTTTTTTTGTAAAATGTTTTTCTTTGTGCAATGAGCACTTCTATAGTCAGAGATAACCCTTTACTGCGCCTTCGCCTGCGTCTGCGGGTGGCCTGAGGGGGCTGCAGGGGCCCCCGTCCAGGTCTGCGCACAAGGTGTGGCCCGTGGCCCGCGGACGGCGGCGACTGTGATCTAGCCTGCCCTGGGCTCAGTCGCCCACGCTCCGTAATTCCAGCCCTTGTGGGGGGCCGGCGCCGCGGCCAGGCCAGCCCCTCACGAGTGAGAAGCCGAGACTGAGGAAGTTGTCGGAGTTGATCCACTTTGGGGTTAACTCCCAGGCCCACTTTGCAGTAACAGTGTGATTTGTGAGATCAGAATCTGTGTCGTTTATTCCCATCACTGGGTCCGGCCTTGGGCCCCTCTCCCAGTCTTCAGCTTCTGGTGGCTCCCGTCGCCCTCTGTTTATTCAGGGAAGGCGAGAGTGTCTGCTTCCTAGAAGGCAGTGACACGCCAGGCCAGGGGCACAGCTCCCCGCGGGGAAGGGAGGACACATCTGCACAAAACGCATGGCTTGGTGCTCCCGCCTGCTCGGCGCCGGGCCCCACATCCAGCCGGGGCCGCGAGCGCAAGCCCGCTGACCTGAGCAGGTGCTGGGGGTTCTGCACTGGCTCCGAGGCTCAGGAGGGTTGAGGGCAGAGCCTGTGGAGGTGGGGAGCCATCCGTCAGTTCCCTTCCTTGGGCTGTGTCCGGGTAAAGGGTCAGCTCGGCCCTTCTGCTCTTTGGGGCTTTTGTGCTTCTCAGGGCTGAGGGTCCCTCCTATCAAGCCATGGCGCCTGTCCCTGTGCTGAGAAGCCAGCTGGCCTGGGTCAGAGGTGCTGAGCAGGTGCGGCTAACAGCTGGCGGAGTAGCCCCTTGCTGTCCCTGTGGTCCCCTTGGGGAGGGTGACCGAGTCCCCACACCCCTCGCAGATGAATGAGGAAGGACTGCAGTTTTGTCCAAAGCGATTGGGAGGGACAGGTGGCTTTCTGAGGAGACTGGCCACTGGCGGTCACAGAGGGCCTTCCATATCAGCTCCCCGCACATAGCTCACCCACAATGGGACCTGCATGGCCCGTGGGGTGGCCGCACAGGCTCCGTGGGAGGCAGCCGGCCCCAGGGCTCTGCCTGGGCTGCCTCTTTCCCTGGAACAGGTGTCAGTGACTTCACAGGGCCCTGGCCTCACGACAGCCACGCTGTAGACAAGAGCACGCTTGCTTCCTCCATCCAGTTTTTCTCTGTTGCTTCTTGTGGGGCGTGGGGGCCAGCACGGGTCTCTCCCCACGGCAGCTCGGACTCTGTTGGCCCAGCGACTTGGAGAGTGTGGCTTTGGTCTATCTGGAGAGGTTGAATTTCACAGCAGACTCCCCCGTTCTCCAGGCTGGGATGCAGCCGGGGAGCCCGACAGAGCCACCTGCCCCAGTCAGGCCCTGGAAGGTCCCAGAGCCAGTAGCCCTGCGTCCCCCACCTCCAGCCCGTGGTCTTGGGCTGCTGTGTTGTTGGGACCAAGACCTGCGGCTCGTTCAGAAATCGAAGTATCCTGGTGTGTGGACAGACTCTGCTGGCTGGTGGCCCAGACCGACAGAGAATGTCCTCAGGCTTGTGTCACAGCTGGAGGCCAATGCTGCCCTTCCCTGTGAAGCCATCGCTGTCCCGAGGCTGTCACATCGGCCTGCTAGGCAGTCTCTTGAGGCACCGAGCCCGGCAGAGACTCACAGGGCCTGGACCTCGTTTTGCCTCATGTGGGACCAAGAGGAGGCCGGGCTGGACCCCGCTGAAACATGGGTCCAAGTGTCTTTTGCTGAAGGAATATGCAGCCGCCTACACCCGCCCCCGTTTGCTCCTAGAGGCGTTTCCCCAGCTTTATGGAGGTATAATCGACAAATGAAATTGCTTGTATTTAAAGTCTGTGATGATGTGACATGTCTGTACGTTGTGGAATGATCACCACAATTAAGTTATAATTAACATGTTCATCACCTCGTGTAATTACTGCTTTTTAACTTTTTTTCACATTTTCTTAATTGACGTGGCAAAATGGTATGGCAGTGCCTTTCTTGCAAAGAAAAGTTGGGTTTGTTTATCTGAAGGCCTCATTACTTCCTAAAAACCTCATTTGTGCTTGAGGCCAGACTCTCCTCTCCTTAAGGACAGGCTCTCCCCCGGCCTGAGCCCCGGCATGGCTCTTCCCACGGTGGCTGCCAGTCGCAGTCCTGCGGGACCGGAGCGGAGGGGCGCGCTGGGCAGGCTCAGACTGCCATTTTCGGCTGCAGTGTGGTGGACACGCCCGTGACTGTGGTTTCAGGTGTACGACATAGCACTTGGACAGCTGCATGCGTTACGAAATGCTCCCTGTGACGATCGTGGTCGCCACACGGCATCCTGATGGGACTGACCGCACTCCCGGGGCTGTGCCGGGAGCCCCCGGGACGGATTTTGGTGCCCGGACGCGTGCACCCCGTCCTCGCCCTCATTCGTTTCGCCCAGGCCCCCACCCCTCCCCTCTCATGACCACTGGTTTGTTCTCGGGATTTACAAAAGCCTTCCTGTTTTTCTGTTTGTTCGTTTTGTTTCTTAAATTCCAGATGTAAATGAAATCATGTGTTTGTCCCTGTCTGTTTCACTTGGCATGATGTGCTCTGGGGCCCGTCCACGTTGTCGCAGACGGCAAGCCGCCCCACTCTGTGACGACCGAGCAATGTCTGTCACACGCAGCCCGCACCCTGCGAGCCCATCGGCCTGCGCCCGCGCCACCCTCCCGCATGGCTTTTGGAGAGAACGCTGCGGCCTGTGCAGGGACACCCGTGTTCCTTCCGGTTCGTGTTTCCGTTTTCCCGGGCGCGTCTCCCATAGTGGCGTTGCCGGGTCACATCACGCGGGAACTCCTGCCGACCTCTCCTTGAAGACCCTCCATGCTGTGTCCCGCGGCGGCTGCGTTCCTGCCAGCAGTGCCCAGCACGGCCCGTTTCTCCGCATCCTCACCAACACTTTCTCTTTGTACCGTTTGGATTCCGGCCATTGGGACAGGCGTGAGGTGACGGGTCATCGTGGTCCTAGTCTTCTGGTTTTAGCAGCCGTGTGTGCGGCCATAACCTCTATCATTTCCTTCTGGAGGGGTCCCTGCCGCACTGTCCTTCCGTGATTTGGTGCAGCCACTTGCTGCTCCGTCCTGAGGTCCGTGGGCCTACAGGCGTCTCTTTTCTCTCTCCGCTGTCCCTGCGCTGGGCCTTGGGCCACGGCTGGGGAGTGGCTGCAGGTGTGGCGGCACTCCGAGCGCTGCTGGGCAGGTGTCCTCCGGGACACGGGCATGCAGGTGACTTCAGTGCACGGGGTCGGCTTGCGACTCTCGGCTCTAGTGACTGTGACTGTGGTGAGTGCGTGAGGGGAGGCGTTCCTCCGGAGCGGGGAGTGGCCTGCAGCCTGTTGAGGGAGGAGAGTGGGGTGAGGCTGGGGAGGAGCCCGGTGCGGCCCCCACGCTTCCCTGGATGGGGCTCCTAGGCCAGAGTTTGGAGTTTGCCCGGCCCCTGCAGGGGTAGGGCATTCCAGGCGGGCAGTGGGACGGACCCTCTTCCTTCCGGGACTTGCGGGCTTGGGGGGCCCAGGGAGGCACATCTGTGTCATGCTTCCCCCGAGGGTGACAGGCCCTGGTGGCATGGGGAGCGGGCTGGACCTTCAGTTTGAGCCTCTGTATTTTTATGTATAGGAAGTGGTGAATCAAGTCTCCCCTACTGGGATCTTTGGATGTTTAAGGATAAAGTAGATACAGTCCGTGACCCGTCAGATTAGACGTGCCATAAATACTAGTTTCAGGATTCAGAATGTTTGATCACCAGGTGGGGTCCGTGTTGGACGTATGTTGGGGACGTTCTCTGATGACTGGCCAGTGAGCTGTGGGAGGGTGAGTGATGGGCAGAGGTGGGTCTGGGCGCTCGAGGAGCCAGGCAGGGGTGGGGTGAGGGGGGTGAGGGGGAGCAAGGGGCGCTTCACAGCCGGGCAGAGGCTGTCTGCTTCAGGGAGTGGGTCACTGGGGCGGGCTCCCGACCTCTGTCCAGGACGCCAGTCGCTGGCCACAAGTGACCGTGTCAGTGTGGATTCGGGAAAAGTTAACAAAGCTGAAAACTCTGTCCCTCGGCCACACTGTCCACATTTCAAGTGCTCAGCGGCCACAGCGGGGCAGTGGCTGGCGTCCTGGGAGGCACCAGAAGAGACTGTTTCCGCTACCACAGAAGAGTCTTCGGACGGAGCTGGGGGAGACTGTTGAGCACTGTTATGGCAAGCGTTCTGAGGTTTGGCCGAGCGTTTGAATTTCTTCCCAGGGGATTCTGATGGGTCTCATAGTTGAAGCTTTTTTTCTCTGCGTGTTTTGTACCTGGAGGTGCCGGTGCCCTTGGGATCAGCTGGTCCCATAGAACAGCACCCGGGAACGTCGGCGGGAAGAGCCCGGCACGGGTCCCCACCACCCGCATTCCCTGTTCAGAGACCGACGTTCCCACATTTTGTCATGACCCTGTTTGGTTAGAGGAACGCGGGAGGCATTTGCCGTAGGCGGGCGCAGGGACCCATCTGGAATCGCGGGTGTTAGCGTTGGGCGGTCGGCTGAACCACGCGTCTGTTCCGAGAAGGCATTTGGTTCCTGGTCTATTCGCTGCGAGCTGAGCTCGTGGACTCTTAAGGGACCCAGGAAATGGGAACCCCCAGACCCATTGCAGCACCTTCAGTTCCACCGGGAAGCAACTCTCCAGGACCCCCACCCCGTCTGGGGAGCCCCACACTGGCGGTGCCGCCTCATGACACGCCTCTCGCTGCCTCGCTCTGCGGGCTGCCTCCGTGTGCGGCGCCAGGCTGCGGTCCCCGGCCCCGCGTCCGTCACGGCACCCATGTGAGCCTGGTGGGGTAGAGGACGGGCTGAATTTCCCAGCCCAGCCGTGTTCCAGAAGCTGCGTCAGTAATGCGTGCTCTGCTCGTCCCGGCAGGTGGAGCTGGAGGTCACGCTGCCTGGAGAAGGGAAGGACCGCATCTTCAAGGTGTCCATCAAGTGGGTGTCCTGCGTGAGCCTACAGGCGTTACACGATGCACTTTCGGGGCGGCTGCCCAGCGTCCCCTTTGAGACGATCCAGGCCCTGGATGTGGTCATGAGGCATTTGCCATCCATGAGGTGAGGACCAAGGAAGCAGGAGCGTCTGCCTCCGGCCCGGAGCGTGACCTGGAAGGGACGAGGTCTTTGCGCAGGGATGATTGGGGTTTGGGAGACAGGGTGGTGGTAGTTAACGGGTTTCTGTGATGAAAATCATTACAGTACTAACATGAAACACTTAATATAAAAATCACCAGGGGCCCCTCACCGGCTCATTCAGTAGAGCATGTGACTCCTGATCTCAGGGTTGTGAGTTCGAGCCCCACGTTGGGCAGAGATTACTTTGAGGGGAAAAAAAAAAAAAGAAATCACCGGAATGCTCAACCAGGTACAAAAAAGTGGACTCCCTGCCCGTCCTTGTGCACACTCGTGCTCCTTCCCTTGCCGATACCGTGAGCGTGGTGTGTCCGTGGCGCTCACGCGTAGGACTGGGAATAGTAGGCTGATACTCCCAGCGCCCCACCTGACAGTGCGCCCACCGCATGGAGGCAGGGACCGCGGGCGACACAGTGCTTCGGATTGCCGGCTTATTCCACGGGGCGGCTTTTCTCCCACAGATGGCCGCACGTGGACTTCCCGGGACAGAGGGTGCATGGACACTTGAAGGGCTCGTGCTCGACCCTGTGGCAGGGCTGCACTAGTCCCCCTGTCACAGCCTCAAGGGAGCCAGGCCACTTGGCCACACGCAGACCTTGGGGTTCTGACCTGGGACCACCCGCTCTTTCCTTGTGTGGGGCACCCGCCAGGGCTTTGGGAACTGTTTGAATGAACCAACCACCACCGACCGGAGACATGAGCCTCCATGCTGACCTCTCCTCAAAGTGACAGAGCTCAAAGATTTGAGGGGGGGGGGGGGGGCTCCCTTTGTTCTTTTGTAGTGAGAGAAGGCGCTCTGGGATGCCTTGTTGGATTTTAAAGGGACCCTGGGGTTCTCAGTCTCCAGACTTGGGTGGGGGTGACCAGATAGCTGGCAGGTGTCCCTCATGCAGGGATCCTTCCCCCAGCCCCCAGGATATAATCTCTTTCTGCTTGGAACTTCTGTCAGCAGGAAGGCAGGTGGGTGGGGATAAAAAAAATCTGGAAAGGCAGTTCAAAGTGTTGAATACGTTTTTCAAACAAGTGGCAGAAATCACTGTGATTTTTGTTTTCTGAGTTTTGAATTAATTACTGTGTTACTTTTAGAATCAGGAGGAACGTCTCCGTTCATTTTGGAGAAATAATAGAAAAAGTGGCAGGAATAACGTGTAAGGAAGAGAAAGGCGGAGAGAGAAAGGACTGTCTCCACAGTCTGGTGGATAGTGCAGCCCGGGGTGGATAACACGAGCCCCAAAAGACGCATCTTCCTTTTGGATCCTCTGTAAGGCGCATCCCGGGGTCCAGGCGTCACTGGCGCTGCTGCACTAAGGCGTCTGCCTTACGCACGGGGCCTCCTGCTCTCTGTGCCCTGGGGGCGGCCGGGCCCTGGAAGGCCTGCAGGTCTTCCCACATGTCCACCTCGCCGTCCCGCCTGGGAGGCCGCACCCCCCCGCCCACACACACATTGAGCTCCTGCCCTGCAGAGGGGCTGCATGGAGCGGGGACTAGATGCTGGGCGCCGCGTCCCGACACGGTCCTGGACAGGGCAGCCAGGCTCCCTGGGCCCAGGCCTGCTTCAGTCCGGCCACCTCGGGTGGACGCTCCTTCCAGCTGTCCCTGCAGCGCACTGCCCGAGAAAGACGTGAGGTGCTGTGTGCAGAGAAGCCCTAGTCGGTGAGCAGGGGAGGCCCAGAAACACGAGCCAGAGCCAGGGACACACCGTGTGCCCCGGTGCCTGTGCGGCCAGAGCCCGTGCCTGGGGTCCGGAGCCACGGGGGGAGGGGCGGGAGACCCACTCGAGGGAGGAAGCCGCCGAGGCCCTGGGTCTCCGAGGCCGAGCCTCCAGCAGTGTTCCTCAGGGTCCGCCACGGACACCTGCCACGCGCCCCTCGGGGACCTGGTTTGGTTCGGAGGAAACCGGCGGAACCATGGGTGCCTGTGCACGGTCCTGCTGGCTCGTCATGACGAGTGGACTCGGCGTCCGCCTCCCCTGCCTGACCCCACGAGGGCTCTTGTTTCAGGTACACGCCTGTGGGCCGCTCCTTCTTCACGGCGTCCGAGGGCTGCTCCAACCCCCTTGGCGGGGGCCGGGAAGTGTGGTTTGGCTTCCATCAGTCCGTCCGACCTTCTCTTTGGAAAATGATGTTAAATATTGATGGTAAGCAAAGCCCCTGTCTTTGTCGTCGGGGGACGGGGTTGGAGCATTGCTGAGGGGCCGAGATCCGGGGAAACGCCTGTGTGGCCGTTTCCAAACGTGGCCTCCGTCCGAGCCGCAGATGCCGTGTCACACCTGGCCTTCCTCTCCTGCTTGTGAGACGTGAATCTCAGAGCCGCATGCAGGGCGCACTCCAGAGACTAAGGCTCTGGGTGCCGAGACGGGCCAGCGTCCCTGATTTGTTCCCAGATCCTGCTGCCCGTGTCCAGCAGGCAGGGCTCCCCCCACCAGGCCCGCCCTCTGTCTCACCTTTTCATTTTCTGCCTGGTTGGCAGGAGCACCGGGTAGCTGGCTGGGGGCCAGCCTGCTCTGTTGCCTTCCGGCTGGTCTCCGGGTTCAGGGTGCCCTGCCCTCTCGGGAGTCTCAGGGTTGCATCGTGCCAGGAACGGGAAACCTCAGAGGGTCCCCGGTTATGGCTCTTGGGGTCTGGCGGAGTTTCATCTTAAGGCTTTTGACTCTCAGAGGGCGGCTTTATCTTTGGGTCCCGAGCCAAAGGAGGATGGGGCAGCCCCTGCTGGTGCTGTCCCACCCATAAGGCCTGGAGGTGGACCCCGGGGACGGCAGGGAGCAGAGGCCAGGCGGCCGGACTGCAGGGGACACACCTCACCTCACCCTTTGCTTTTCTTTTGTTCCCACCGACAGTCTCGGCAACTGCGTTTTATAAGGCACAGCCGGTAATCGAGTTTGTTTGTGAAGTTTTGGATTTTAAAAGTATTGAAGAACAACAGAAACCTCTGACAGATTCCCAAAGGGTCAAGTTTACCAAAGAAATCAAAGGTGGGTCCCTGCCTTGTGCGTGTGGCCCCGACTCTCCCCCCTCACTGCCCTTCCTGAGCTCCTAGTGGAGAGGAGGAGGCGAGCGTGGTCAGCTGTCCGGTGAATTACCACAGAGATGAGCCAAGCCCATGTCACAGCTCGGGAACAGTGATGTTCTGAGTAAATGGCTTTCCTCTTAGGCGAGAGGCGCGGGTCAGTGACTGGTGGCCTGCACGTCCCTGGACTCCAGGACCAGAGAGCCCGTAGCTCACGCTGTCCTGGAACGGGGTGCATGCTTCCGTGCCTTGTTGTCATGTGGCTTTACACCCCTGGCAGCATCTGTCCCCACCCCGCCAGCTTACCCCTCAGGGAAACACGGCCTGAGTGTGGTGGCCTGGCTCAGGCTCCTCTGGCCGGCTGGCACCTGTTGCCTACGCCCCTCCACACCTGTCCTCAGAGGGCTTTCGAAAGGCCGTCAGAAGTACCCATTGCTAAAAATAATCCTGGAGAAAGCACAAAGTCTCTCTGAGGCAACGTAGTGACTTTTATCTTTAAGAACAGTGGCCAGCCGCTGGCCTTGGCATTTCTGGGGCAGAAGGTGGCCCTGGGGTGCAACGGGCCCCGCGCAGAGGTCCTCCCCTTGGGGCCGATGTGGCCGAGCAGCTGCCCCAGAGCACCCTCCCCTCCTTGGGTCTGTAGGCGTGGCTCCCAGGACAGCTGGCGCTGGGGGGGGGGGGTGCTCCGGGCTGGGGCGGGTCTTGACTCTGAGTCCGGGCTGCTCTGTGTCCCCAGGTCTAAAGGTGGAGATAACGCACTGTGGGCAGATGAAGAGGAAGTACCGTGTCTGCAACGTGACCCGCCGGCCCGCCAGCCACCAAACGTAAACGGCCTTCCCTTCCCCCCAGATCAGCTCTCATGGTTGCTCTGGTGTGCAGACTCCAGAGGAGGGGCCCTTCTGGAAAGACTCATTTCATTCTAGTTCAGAATTTTGGAACTGCACGTTCAGCTCAGCGGAGCCGGACGTTACCTGAGGAAACCCAAGTCACACAGTTGCTCTGCTCAGGGCGGGACGGGGTGGCGGCTCCCTGTGGATTTTCCCTCCTGAGCTCTGCAGGCGAAAGAGGGTTGTTTGGTTTGTTTTCTAATCCTCGGTGCTGGGCAGGAGCAGGGATCGGTGGGCACCCCCCGCCCCGGCCTGGCCAGTGCTGGGACGTCTGTCTCGTGCCGTGTGCTCCAGTCCGAGGTTGGCTGGGACGTGCGCAGGCCATTGGGGGGGGGGGGGGGCTCGTCTGTCCTCAGTGCCTCACGCATACTATAGAGCTCTGTGATCTGTGATTATCACATGTTATAGGTGTGGAAGTATTTTTTATTTCCCAACTCCAGAGATGATATGAAAGTTTAAGAACTACACGTCTAAAGGGCGTGATTGGTTTTGACCCCTGGAAGGTGCTCGGGACATTTGCCCCCCTCCCAAACCCTCATCCCCCTTCTTCAGCCCTCGGCAAGCAGACTGGGGGAGCCGCCTCCCACAGGGTCCGCTGCCTGAGCCCCTTCCTGGCTTCCCTAGGTTCCCGCTGCAGCAGGAGAGCGGGCAGACGGTGGAGTGCACGGTGGCTCAGTACTTCAAGGACAGGCACAAGCTGGTCCTGCGTTACCCGCACCTTCCATGTTTACAAGTCGGACAGGAGCAGAAACACACCTACCTTCCCCTCGAGGCAAGTCCCATCTCCTGTCCACCTGCTCTGGGGCTGGTAGGAGAGCCGGGGGCCTCCAGCCAGGGACGCCCCTTGCGCCTGCCTCCCCGTGAATGACACGGTGAGGAGACTCCCGCGGGGTTCCTGGGCCGATAGAGGACGTGCCCGTTGTGCCCAGCAGGCCCCTTGCACAGGCTGGAAGGTTTTCAGAAAAGCTGCCATTTCTTCACTTGGAAAAGTCCTGGCCCGGAGGAAGACTAAATGCTAAAACGGACCCAAATTTTAACTCTTTCTGTTAGTGTCTTGAGTTCTCTGGACTCGTCCAGTTACCCCAGTGTCCAGTCGGTCTTCCTGGGCCCCAGTGCAGAAGCCCAGCCTCCTCCCCATCAGCGCGCAGCTTCCTGCTCTCACGTCATGAGGCTCCCAGCGCACGGGGAGCCAGGCTCCCCCAGGAGACCCCTGCTGCTGACCGCGGGCCCCCGAGCAGCCCCTGGTCCTGGAGGATTGCCGGGTCAGTCGCCACGGTGTCTGCGTGGTGCCCTGTGTGGCTAAGAGATGGGCATGTTCCAGGCCGAGCCAGGGCGCCGCGCTCAGCCGCAGACCCCAGCCTGTCCCCAGCACCGGGCCAGCGCCGTGTCTGTCCCTTCTTCGTAGGTCTGTAACATAGTGGCAGGACAGAGATGTATCAAAAAACTGACGGACAATCAGACCTCAACCATGATCAGAGCGACTGCCCGGTCAGCACCAGATCGTCAAGAAGAGATCAGCAAGCTGGTGAGAGTCGCGCTGCTGCGGCCGGCCTGGGGGCGGGGACTCCGTGGGAACTGTGCTATGGGGTGTGGGGGAGGGGAGCCCCTGATGTTTGGGATAGAGACAGCTTACTTCTTTTTTCCTTTTCAAGATGCGAAGTGCAAGTTTTAATACAGATCCGTATGTTCGTGAATTTGGAATCATGGTCAAGGACGAGATGACAGATGTGACCGGGCGGGTCCTCCAGCCGCCCTCCATCCTCTACGGGGGCAGGGTACGTCGAGGGCGAGGCTGAGAGACGTGCGTGGGTGTATGCGCGCTGTGTCTGCCAGTGGTGGTGGAGCAGCAGCTTTGGACCCCCATGGGGCAGCACTGTTGCCAGAGGTGTGGACCGGGCAGGGTACAGAGTTCTTGCCGTGCTCACCCAAGCCAGCATGTGGGCCCCAGTAAGGACTGAGCCGCTCTGCCCTTCCTGAAGATCGTCAGAATTGCCCTTTGTCTTTTCAAAAGGTGACTTTTATTATCCCATTAAAATCTGGAAAGCATTGTTCTTGGACACTCTGCACTGATGAATTATTTTCCAGAAACTTCTACTTTTTTTCTGGTGGGTTTTTTTATTTGTTTTATTTTTTGACTTTGGTGTTGGAGGTATTTGGTGATAAACAGTTGTTAGTCATTCAAGTTTTTGTTTTTGCCCATGTGATGCCTGGCCTCGTCGGCACATCATAACGCAGTCCTGGCTGTCGAGCACTGCGGAGCTCGTGGGAAGGGTTCGTGCACTCCGTCGGGCCAGGCCTCAGGTGCGGAGCACAGCTCTACGGGGCAGACGGCGGGGCCCGGGGCCTTGGCCTCACTCACCTGCGAGCTGTGACCCTGCCTCTTGCCCTAGTCCTCGGGACCTGTAGCAAGGCCCGGTTTTGTTTGTGGGGTTTTCCCTTTCTTATTATAAAACATAAGTTCTGCTCTTTAGAATGTTCCGAAGTTCAAAGGGTAAAACAATTAAAGGGAGGGTGGCGCTTGGCCGCTCAGCGGGAAGAGCCTGCAGGTCTTGATCCCAGGGTCATGGCTTTGACTCCCACATTGAGTGTGGAGCCTGCCTACCAAACAGCACAGCAGAACAAGGCATTACAGGAAGAAGACAGTTTCCCCAGGTCTCACGGGCTCTCCCAGGAAGCGACTGGTGTTTGCTGTATCCTTTGTAAGCTGCCCAGGGACTATTCGTGTGTTTCCATCCCTTCCAGTGCGAACAGTAACATTAAGTGTGCTTCTTTTTACTTGAAACTTTCTCTTGGAGCCCACAGAGGTCTTGGAGTTGGTTCCGTGTCTCTGTGACACGTGGCTTGTTTGTTTGGGCTCTGGATGGTTCTCTGTTGGGGGTCCCTGTCCTTTGAGGACGGCCTCTGAGGAAGGCTTCCCAGCTTTCTCAGCTCCCTTGCGCGTCTGCTGCGTGCAGATGCGGACGCCGTGCAGACACGGCCCCTTTTGAGCCCTTCTTAAAGCCCTCAGAGGGCCCTGCCCCAGCCAGTGGAGAGACGGCTGGAAATAGAGGTTTTTGTGGCCCGTGGGTGGTCAACCAAGATCGCAAATCCAGTATTTTTGTTTTTGTTTTTTTCACGGCCCCTGCTTCTGTCTGACTTTCTGACTCAGTAAATGCAGGAATAGTTTGGAAAACAAAGTAGCTCTTGTAAACTAATCTTGCAAAACTATTAGAATTGTAGGGATTGAAAGTTTATCCTGCTTCTAAATGAACACATTTTTCCAGATCTCTGAAACATTTCAGTGAGAACACACATTCTTCTTCATCTACCCTACTCGTCCATTGTCGGAGCGAAATGTCAAAAGCCCCCCAGGGAACATTTAGCGATGTCTGGAGGCTGGTCCCCAGTGACAACAACTGCTGACGTCCTACAGCACACAGGACCGTCCACACGTCAGCAGGGCTGAGGCTGAAACACATGTGTGTCGTGAGAGCCCATGTCTGCTTAAGCCGTGTGTGCTCGCACGTGTGCGTGTGGAGTCTGGAGTACCAGACTGGTGGCAGGCCGTCTCTTACAGAGGGCTTTCTCTAGTGCAATGGGCATATAGTTATAAAAATACAGGAAAGAAAAGAGGTTCCTCTGGTGGCAGTGCCGAGGCCTGGTCCTTTCTGTTTCAGAGAGGACAAGCTCCAGTGAGTATGTCCCTCGCTCTGTCTCTACAAGTCGGAGTAGCTTCCATTCCTTAAACCGGGCAGGCATGGCACGAGGAGTAGAGGGGTCCTCCCCAGCCCACCTGCTCCCTGGCATCTTGACTTCCTTCCCCTCCTTGGCTACTGGTGTGATGACGGGTGGAGTAAGTGAGAGCATGTTCTGAACCAGGAAGCCCTCCTGTGGCATCTCGAGGCCCTTCCATTCCTCGGGGCTGCCCATGAACTTCGGTGGGATTCTGGGCCTCTCTGCTCCCTGTGGCCTGTATCCACCCCTCCCTTCATTGGTCCGTCCATCTTCCATCTGCCCTTCCCTCCGTCCGTCCTTCATGCTCCCTCTGTTCACCCATCCCTCCTTCCATCCCTCCTCTCTCTACCCCGTCCATCCCTCCTGCCATCCATCCTTCCACCCCCGTCTCCCGTCCAGCTCTTCGTCTGTCCGTCCATCCGTCCTACAGACATTCTGGCCCACGTGCTCTGCGGGGCAGGTCAGAGACGGGAGACCACACAGAGGCTCAGTTCTCAGCTTCGGGAGCACCATCGGACCAGGGGGCCAGCGGACAATAGGGAAAGTAACACAATCCAAGGTCAGAGGGATGTCTTTCCCGTTTCTCCTCACTCTAAACTTCTTGCCATTTGCAGAATAAAGCGATCGCCACCCCCGTCCAGGGCGTGTGGGACATGCGGAACAAGCAGTTTCACACGGGCATCGAGATCAAGGTGTGGGCCATCGCCTGCTTCGCCCCCCAGCGCCAGTGCACGGAAGTCCACCTTAAGTAAGGCCGCGGGAGGGGCGGGCGCACCTGACCTGGGCGGGGCCGCTGGGGGCGGGGCCGCTGGGGCGGGGCAGCGGGCTTGGTGACGATGGCCAGGTTCGGTCCTCAGCCTTTCCCTGGCAGAGGACACTTGCCCAGGATGTGGGGGCCACCTCAAGGCTGCTATTCCTTCCCAGACTTACTGGTGGAGGGAGCGTGAAGCAGTAGTACAGATTATGTAAGAAACAAAGCAATAAATGAATAAACTTGAAAATTAGATGCAAAAGAGAAAATTATATTCAGTGAAGTTGTTACTTGGGAAAATAAACCATAAAAACAAAAAACTTGGGAAAAAAATTGTCCCTACTTGGTCCAGGTGTTGGACCCTTTGAAAGTAGCACCAGGAGGGCGCCTGGGTGGCTCAGTGGATTAAGCCGCTGCCTTTGGCTCAGGTCATGATCTCAGGGTCCTGGGATCGAGTCCCACATGGGGCTCTCTGCTCAGCGGGGAGCCTGCTTCCCTCTCTCTCTCTGCCTGCCTCTCTGTCTACTTGTGATCTCTCTCTGTCAAATAAATAAATAAAATCTTTAAAAAAAAAAAAAAAAAGAAAGTAGCACCAGGAACGTGCAGCTTCGCCGCTCCCACTTTCGTGCCAAACAGACCTGACGGCGGAGAGAAAGCTTGAGCTTCCCGCTTGCCTCGGTGGAAGCAGGAGGGAACCCCACGCCCGCGGCGCGCACGTAGCTGCTGCACATCCTGGCAGAGGCCGGCTCGGACAGTCCCGAGCGCGGAGTCCGGGGCCGAGAGCTGGCTGTACTGCATGGGGCCAGCGGAGCGAGCGGGAAGCACAGAGCAGACTAGGAAACAAATCGGTTGGGTGTGGCCCCGGGCGTCTCTCTCCACTGTGTTCTGGCTCCTCTGTGCTCGAGGGCATGGTGTGAAGGCCCCCACGGTGCACGGCTTCAGTGCACCACTAAGTGCACTGAAGTCCAGGAGGCTGAACCCTGCCCCCTCCCCCGGGGCCGAGTGTCCACACCACACTGTAGAAGGCGATGTTATTTTTATTCCGAAGTTTAAAATAGACACTGTTGATCGGTCTGAGCCCCTCCCCCACCGTGGCTTCTCCAGGCCCTCTGACGGCAGCTGCTGGTGTTCCTCTCGCTGTGGTTGGTCCCATTCTCCCCATGGCGGTGTCACCCAAGTCCACGTTGTACACCCAAGATCAATGGGGGCACGTCCGGGGGGATGGTGCGTTCACAGCTGTCCTCCCCATGGCGGTGTCTGGTGTTTCCAGAGCCCTGGGTTCTGTACCAGCACCGGACACTGGTCAGGCCTGCTGCATGGGCGGCCCCTGCTCGGAAAGGACAGCACTGTCCCCACACCTGCGAGTGGGTTCGCAGGAACTGCTGTGTCTGCACATACCTTCTCCTTGAGTTGATGTGTTGTCACGGTTTCGTCCAGGTCTTAAACTTGGACGGGGATGTCAACATACAGGGTTTGGGGTTGGGCCGTTAAAGCCAGGCCCTTCCTTGGGGCCTCTGGCTGGTGTGGAGCCTTGGGCACTTGACGTGCATTCGCGTCTACTGGCCTTTCTCCTTCAGGTCCTTCACAGAGCAGCTCAGAAAGATCTCGAGGGACGCTGGAATGCCCATCCAGGGCCAGCCGTGCTTCTGCAAATACGCCCAGGGGGCGGATAGCGTGGAGCCCATGTTCAGGCATCTGAAGAACACATATGCCGGCCTGCAGCTGGTGGTGGTCATCCTGCCGGGCAAGACCCCCGTGTACGGTAGGCCCCCTGCTCTTGTGGTCCCTGTGGCCCCTGCCTTCATGACCCTGGGGGGGCTGGGCGCGGCCTGAGCCCTGGGTGTGTGTGCCACACTGGGGAGTGCTCGTGCCTGGCCATCGCTCCCACATCCGCGCCGAGGCCACCCTCCCTGGAGGCCGGCACCTACAGTTAGCTTGTCATGCCCATTTGGTGCCCGCACAGGGATTGCAGGGGCCACCGTCTCCATGCCCGCCTCAGAGCTCGCTGGAAGTTCATCAGACTTCATGCCAGAACAGCAGTCATTTAGCTAACACTTAGCAAGCGCCCCACGGTGCTGTCCCAGGCCTGGCAGGTTCAGGGATCCAGCCCCCCCTATCCAGGAGGCCCCAGGGCAGTGGGGGTGCAGACAGGTGACTCCAGGACAGGCGGTGGGGCTGGGGACCGTGAGGCTCAGGTAGTGTCCCCAGCCGGGTCCCCTACTAGATGGGGACGAAATCAGATATGTAAAACCCACACATCTCCTCTCTGAGCACCATCTCCAAAGAGCGAGGAGGACACCACCGGTGTTTCCATCCCGAAGTGCCGTGTTCCACAGGGTGCGCGGGAGCAGCTGACAGTCGCTTCATGAAGAATCCAGAAACGGGGGCGGGGGGAGGCTAGATAGCTCTTTGAAGTCGGGTGTGCGTGTGCTATCAGGTCAAGGATGCCAGTGTCTTTATTCTAATGACTCAGGATCTGCTTATAACCCTGAGCACCGTGATCGAAGGCAGCAGTCCTAGCCAGGAGGGCCGCGTCCCCCGGGCCAGCCTGGCTCTGCCCACACAGCCCTGCAAGTCCCTGAAGGGTCCTCCGTCCTGCCGAGCCCAGACTCGAGCTCCGGGGCCTGACCCCCCGCCTGCCGGCCACCCCCTCCCAGCAGCGTAGCCGCCCACGGGGCTGCGGCGGCTGTGCTTCCATGCCGACCGCTGCAGTTTCAGGGTGGGGGGGGCTGTCAGGGTGAGCAGAGGAAGAGGGGCCAGTGAGAGCTGCCAACATGTGCCTCTTTCGTGCTCCGCAGCCGAGGTCAAGCGCGTGGGAGACACGGTGCTGGGGATGGCCACGCAGTGCGTGCAGATGAAGAACGTGCAGAGGACCACGCCCCAGACCTTGTCCAACCTCTGCTTGAAGATCAATGTCAAACTGGGGGGCGTGAACAACATTCTCCTGCCCCAGGGGAGGTAAGGCCGGCTTTGGCCACGTGTGCGGCGGTGGGCAGCACAGTTCCTGGAGGGACGGGGGTGCGGTGCACGTGTGGGCCCCTTCAGATCCCCGGCACCAAGCACCATCCTGGACAGTCCCAGCAGACACGGGCAGTGCTCCCCCAAGTCTGGGGAATGAGGGGCATAGGGGGGTCTTGGAGTGCTATGGCCAGGCTCCCTGAGTGAGGTGAGACCAGAGAAGGGTGCAGGGGTCCTGGGACGTGGGACGTGGGACATGGGATGGGGCAGCCATGCTATGAAAGGAGTGAGCGGGTCAGAACCGGAGCTCACCTGGAACGTCTAGGACACGAGCCTCAGCAGAGCAACACACGTCATTGCTGTGTGGGCTGCCAGTGGGCGCCCCTGAGGCCGTCAGTACCAGGAGCCGACCCCTGGAACCCTGAGAGGCTCCGCAGCAGGGCACACTGTTGGCAGACCCCAGGCTGGGGTAGGGATGTGGGGCTGGCATGGGATCGGTGGGCGGGGCTGTGGGGTCCTTGGTCCCTCTTGGCCTGGCATGGGGCCCTGGGTGCCCTGAGTGCAGGCCAGCTTCTTCTGCAGCGGGGAGAGAACTCTGTCGGGACAGATGCTGTCAGGGGGGTTCTTGCTGAAGCGTCTGGGCATTTGGGTTCGGGTTTGATGGCAGACACGGGTAAGCATGGGTCACTTGGCACGCTCACTCTTCAGTGTGCCAGCCAGCCCCCCGGGTAGAAGGGCCGGGCATGGAGGCAGCAGGCGGTCTGGCTGCTTCTGTGAGCTCCGGGCAGAGGCACGGGAGACGGCAATGTGTGCAGAAGCCTGACAGCCTGTCCGGGCTGCCTTTGTGGGCACGGCTGGGCGAGGCTCTGGTCAGCACCTCTGGGCCGGGACCCAGGCGAGGGCGTTCTAGTGAGCGCACAGCAAGGCCGCGGGTGGGGGGGCCGCCCCTTCAGAACAAGGAGTCCCGCTGCTGAGGGGAGTTAGTAGGTCGCCGTGCGATGGCATGGAAAGACTCTGAATTCAGGGCCTGACAACTTTGAACTTGAAGACTGGCTCTGCGACATGGGGTCGAGTCATGCAGACCCCGGGGAGACACAAGGAGCCTCCAAGGGCAGGTGGTGAGCGCCCAGCCAGCGGGCTCTGATCAGTGGGTGCCGGCCGTGAGCCAGGACTGGGGCCAGAGCAGCAAGCGCGGCAGCCAGAGTCCCAGCCTCTACTCGGGGGACCCACACGCATGGGTCTTGACAGGTGAGCAGCAGAGACATCATGGGAGGGACCGGAGCTCAGGAGGGTGAGGAGCTGGGGTTTCTATGGCAACGGACTGGTGGAGAAGGTAGCACTAGGCAGAAGGGCATAGGCTTGTGGGGATGCCTGCGAGAAGGGTGTTCCGGACCCCGGCGTGGTTCGGGCAAGGGCCCCGGGTGGGAGCCTGCCAGGACGGCTGGGGGTTGTTCTAGCCCAGGACCCAGGGGTGGGGGTCTGCTGGCAGTGGCCTGGGGCTCCCTCCAGGCTGGACACAGCTCCTGGAGGTGTCTGTTCTGAAAGGCTGCTCCAGCTCTGGGTGGAATGGGACCGGGAGGCCCCAGCGTAGTCTCGGGAGGGATGCTGGCGTGGGGGAGGGTGGGGTCTGCCCCGAGACGGTATGTTTGGAAGATGGCGATGCAGGGCCCGCAGACAGGCTGGGTGTGGGCTATGAGCAAAAGAGGAGAGTGTCCAAGGCTCTCGCTCTGCTGAGCCTCTGCGGCCCTAAGCAGCACGAGGGGTGGGGCTTGCGGGGTCGTGCTGGAGGGGCTTCTCGGGTGGGCGAGAAGAAACAGGTTTGCTATCGGGGATGTGTGATTAGGGCTCTGCAGCAGAGAGCTGGGATTGAAAGCCAGGAGGCAGACCCCCCAGGGCAGGGCATAGACAGGAGGGAGGCCAGGCTGCCCTGGAGGCTTCGTGGTTAAAAAGGTCATGGAGACTGGGAGCCAGCAGTGGGGCCCCAGAAGAGAGAGGAGGAGAACCAAGCAGGTCCTGGACCCCAGGGGCACTGCAGCCTGTGTCACATGGTGTGGACTCTGCCAGGCAGGGGTGGGGGACCTTGTGCAGGGAGCCTTGTTGCCATGGCAGCAGGACGTCTGGTGGGAGGGGCCCGAGGCTGCTGGGAGGTGGGGAACGGGTGCAGGGGCAGGAGCTTAGCAGCAGGCGTAAGGGGAAGGAGGGAACGGAGTCTGCAGGCAGGTGTGGCTTCCCCGTGGAAGCCAGAGTCATAGCTGCGGGTGCACAGGGAGGGAGCTGGGAGGAGGGCGCGGCACCGGTGCCCAAGAGAGCCAGGATGGGGCCGGGCCCTGGAGGCTCACAGAGAAGGGCCGCGGTCCACTACGGGGCCCAGAGACAGGTCGGTCTTTGTGGCCATGGGCGGCATCTTCCCCCGTGCGGGGAGCCCCCGTGAGCTCGCCAGTGTCCCGCTTCCATGTCTCGGGACCCCCGGGAGAAGGGCCCCCCCGGGTGTGGTTGGCGGTACGCCGGAGCTTGCCGGGGAGCCAGTGCACGTTTTGTGGACACGGACACATGGCATCCACACTCGGAGCCCTTCCCCCACCTCTGGGCTCTGGGGGGGCTCTGGCCAGCGGGAGTCCCGCGGGGACCGTTCCCCAGTGAGTTCCGCTCCGGACTGGGCGGGCGGGCACCTGGCGCCTCTCACCTCGGAGCAGCAAGGACGCGGGAGTGGCAGGAGCCTCTGGCGAGCGCGACGGGCCAGGCCGTCTGAAAGTGCTTGGCTCGCGTGTGCTCACGTCCATGTTCGTGTCGGCTGCATTTTCCAGAAGAAAAAAGTAAGCCGTAGAGAGCATCAGCTCTGGAACGCAAAGCTAGCATGTGACCCCGTGCGCACAGCCTCTTCAGGAAGGTGCTTGAACACAGCATTTGAACAACGAGGAGAGGAAGCCCGTGTTGTGCTTAGCCCGGGGCGGGGGGGCGGCTGGCACCTCGTGGGCTGAGAGCAGGGGTGCTGCTGAGCATCCTGCAGAGTGGGGGCGGCCCCTGCAGCACAGGATGGCCCAGCCCCAAGCTGCCGCTGGACCGCAGGGACGACGCTGGGGAGTGTGGCTGCAGGTCCCAGGTGGGAGGCAAGTACGGGACTCTTACACGCGTGGGGTCTTGCGTGTAAGGTGTACAGTCGTCGTCTCATGAATTCGTAACCTGAATGTAGAGACTCAGCACATCTGATGAATGTGGAACGTTTTGGCATACAGAAGCAGGAGCCTCCCTGACCCCGGCCTCCGTAGCCGTGCACGCCTGACCCGTCTTGTCTCTGTTTCTCCTATCCCTCGTCCCCCGCACCGGGTTGTTTCTTTGGAAGCAGAGCTCAGACCTCGTGTGGCTTTATCGGCCAGGGTTTCTGTGTGGGCCATCAAAAAATATGAGGTTTTTGTCAAAAAGACAACCACGGTGCCTTTGCCACGCAAGTGACGCTCTTCGGGGGCACAGGCCTCAGACACTCTGGCTTCCCTCCGCAGGCCGCCTGTGTTCCAGCAGCCCGTCATCTTCCTGGGGGCCGACGTCACTCACCCACCCGCTGGGGACGGGAAGAAGCCTTCCATCGCCGCTGTGAGTATCCGTGCTTCCGCTGGGCCGCGGCGGCCGGCGTCCTCCCACACATGGGACCTGCGCCCTGGCCAGGCTGCCTGTGGGAGGGCATGTGGCCAGAGCCGCCCCCAACACCCACAGTGGTTTGTGGAGCAGCTGGCAAAACAGAGTCTCGTGGAAAATTAGTATTTGGAGGGGACTCTGCACGTGGCTGAGTGTGTCTGAGAAGCCAGGAGGTCGTGACTCCCGTCTTGTGGGGCCCCACCTGCAGCTCCTGGGGGCCTGGGGGCTCTCTGCACAGGATTCGTGGGCCCACTTCCTTACACTGCACTCTTCTTAAACGTTTTCGTTTATTCTAAAACGCTAAACGTGAAGTAGTTACGGTCAGAGTTCAGTGGAGGCCTTGCCCTCCATCTGCCCGTGAGTTCCTTTTGGCTTCCGAGGGCTTTGCCTCCCAGGCTCTGCACACCTGTGCTGCACACCCGCTCACCAGCTGTCTCCTGCCCTTGGAGGCTGACCTGGGCCCCTGCTCCGTGCCCCAGCCAACTGGGCCTGGGAGGGGCAGCATAACGGCCTTTTGTTCAAGAGCGTGTGGAATAGCGTGGACTGGGGAAGGGGTGCGCAGGGCCAGAGTGCTCCCTCGGAGCTGTCTGTGATGGGGCCCCCCATCTTCTGCATCCTGGGCAACCGGGTGGAGGGAAGGAGGCATCAGGCTCAAGGTCTGTGTCCCCAGCATCCCCCGTGGGGACTGCCAGAGTGACCTCCGGGCTGTTGTGCATCCTGTCACGTGCCTGACACCACGTAGGGCCACTTGTCGAGCCCTCCAGACTAATCAGAGAAGACTGACATTTTCTGAGCACCTGCTACACGCTGGGCTCTGGGCAGCGTCACTCCGCTGAGTCATAACCTCGTGGGGTCACTGTTCGTTTCCTCAGCTGACACATGAAGGCCAGAAAAGCCGAGCTCCGTTGCTCAAGAGAAGCGGCAGAAAACACAGCTGTAGACAGCGCGAGGCTCAGGGTTAGGGTCTGAGCTGTGTGGGGCGTTGGGGGCCACCACGCTGTCAGGCTCCCACGTGAGGGGTTTCGCGTCCCATTCCCTCCATCATGGCGGCTCTTTCTGGAGCAGTCACAGACGGGCAGCACCCGCCACGTGTGTGGACAGGGCCAGCCACCATCTGGCCATCCGGGGAGGCTGGGCCCCTGGGAGGTGCAGGCTTCCCCAGGGTCCGTTGTGGGCCCCCCCGCCACACGCCGGGTTCGTCTGGTGTCATTCAGGGGCTGTGATCCTCTGGCAAGGTGGCGTTCGGTAGTGTGACTCTTCCTCCTGGACTCAGCCTTACGGAACCTCCGCGTCCCGCCTGGAGTGCGGTTTCCACCTGGTGAGACGCTCCCCGGCCCCTCCTTGCTGAGGAACTGTGCCGCTTGGGTTCTCGCCAGCTTGCCCTCGGGGTGGTCCCCCATTCCCGGGGAGCAGGGACGTGCCCTGATGGGCAGGCATCTTCTCTGGGGGAGCATGGTGCTTTGAGGAAACGAGGGCTTCCTCAGCTGGCTTCTGTGGGGCTGATGGTGCTCAGCCAGCTCGGCTCACAGGCGGAGTCGGGGTTCAGAAGAGTCACCTCCTTTTCATCAGACGCTCGCAGCACACTTATTCTCTGTCCCATGTTTAGTAAGCACGGTGGCCGCGTCCCAGAAAGAAACACAGAGACAACAGGTTCGCCTCCCACACGCCGCTGTCCCTTGACTGTGCTGTGACGTCGGGGTGGTGACATGTGTGTCCTCGCTTGTCCATGCAGGTCGTGGGCAGCATGGACGCGCACCCCAACCGCTACTGCGCCACGGTGCGGGTCCAGCAGCACCGGCAGGAGATCATCCAGGACCTGGCCACCATGGTCCGGGAGCTGCTCATCCAGTTCTACAAGTCCACGCGCTTCAAGCCCACACGCATCATCTTCTACCGGGACGGCGTCTCTGAGGGCCAGTTCCAGCAGGTGGGTGCCCGCAGTCGCCTCCAGGGTCTCAGAGTGCCCAAGAGTCACCTGTCTATCCGGCGCGCTGACATCTGTTCTCCCCCGCAATTCGTGTGGCCACGCCTGGACGGCGGGCCGGGAACAGGCCACCAGCCCAGCAGGGCCAAGGCAGGGCGGGAGGGGACGAGGAGCCACGGGGAAGTCGGGTCTGGACTGGCTCGGCTGGGTGCCCTTCCGGACGCTTGGTCGGGGGAGTCTGGGGACCCCCACTGTGTCTGGGGGTCACCTCCATGTGTGGCGGGAAAGGCAGGCTGCAGGGTGGAGGCCTCAGAGCCCTGGTGACGGCTCTGGCAAGGGGCCAGGAGGGCAGCTGGTCAGGAGCCCCATTTGGGAGGAGGGCTCGTGGGACCGGCCACCGTCCGGATGGGGTCTTGGGTGACGTGTGGATCGCGGGCTCGGGCCGCTGTCCAGAAGGCGGGGGGCGGGGGCGTCAGACGTGGAGTGAAAAGGCGAGAGAGCAGGTGCGGAATTTTGCTGCTGTTCTCTGCGTCCAAGTGCCTGCTTTCCCTCCCTGTTGCGGGGACCTCTGTCCTCGCCCAGCGCTTGGGAGAGCCATGCCCTGAATGTGTCTCCCCCACATCGATCCTAGCCAGGTACACCTCCTCCCACCCCGTCCCCACACGCGCCTCTCTGGGAGATGTTAGCAGGGAAGGCAGAAGATCTGGGGGCCCGTGTCCAGTCCTGTGGGAGACCCACCTGGACAGGCATGCACCCCGAGAGCTGTGCTGCTGTGTGTCTGAGGCCCCAGGCCCCCCTGGACATGCAGGCTAGAGAATGCGTAGACCTTCCTGCTCCAGAAGGGGGCCACAGCTCATACTCCCCACCCCCAGGCCCTTGGTCAGTGGGAAGAAGGGAGTCAACCCTCTGGCCAGGGCTCCAGAGAGCTGCTGCAGGGGCAGGGCTGGTCCCTCTGACGTTCGCCCTCCAACATCCACGGTCCAGTGTGTGCTGACCTCGAAGGCACCTCTTATACAAAAGTTCTTGGCTTCCCTTGGTAGAGAATGTTCCCCCTTCTGTGCCCCTTGCCCCCCGCCCCCCTACCACAGCCATTCCTGCTGGAGAGGGGTCTGCGCCTTCTGTGTTTGTCACTCTGGGAGCACAGCCTGTGCCTTACGGAATCCCCACAGCTGGCGGTTCTCAACCCAGAACCCAAGACACTTTGGAAACAACACGATGTTTGATTCGGACCATGGTTAAAAATCTAAGGTGTGTGGTTCCTGGAGTGGCCTCATCACGGCCTGAGAAGTTGTTTGCCTGTTTATGTCAGACACAGAGAGTGAGAACGTCATAATGTTCCTGTGCCCTGACTCCCAGGCGCTTTGTACCTTCCTTTAGTCTTCGCAGCAGGCCTGCAAGGTAGGATGTTCCCACTTGAAAAGTGAAAAAACGCTGGGCATCAGAGAGGGCCCATGGCTTTCCCAGAGCCGCACAGCTACCTGTGGCAGGGCTAGGGTGTGAACCCCGGTTTAAGTCCTGAGCCAGTGTTCGTTCCGCTGGGTTCTCCCTCCTCTCTGGCACGGAAAACAAGTTGCTGACTTGATCTGTTCATGTGTATGTCTCCCTTTGTGCTTTCTTACTTCTGTGCCTGACGGGTATCGTTTATGGAGCACTCAGAACACTCTAGAAACCGTGCTGAGGAATGTTATGCACTATCTAATTTAAACCATTTAACTATGACATCTGGGTCTCCTCTACTCAATTATAGAAATGAAAAAGCAAATGCAGAAAGGCAGTCACACCGCTGAGCACAAGCTGGCACAGCTGGAGGACTGACCTGCAAGGAGTTGTCAAGTAGCGCATGTTATGAAGGGATTTATTCCGAGGTAGAAAGGTACCGTTAAAGAAAAAAAGAACCATCCTTAAACTCATCTTTTCTTTCCCTCAGGTTCTCCACCATGAGTTGCTGGCCATTCGTGAGGCGTGTATTAAGCTAGAAAAAGACTACCAGCCAGGGATCACTTTCATAGTGGTACAGAAAAGGCACCACACACGGCTGTTCTGCACCGACAAGAACGAGAGGGTGAGGTTCTGGGACTGAAGGAGTGGCCAGAGGTCGGCCCTAGGCCATGGGGCCATGAGGGACACAGGTCTCTGCTCAGCCCGCGCCCAGAGCCCTGACTAGGGGCTTCATGGAGACCCAGCTCTGGACGCTGGAGAAGGGCTGTCCTCAGGCTGGTGAGATGTGTGGACCTGTACATCCCACAGGCCTGGGACAGGACCAGGCAGGAGATCTTATTTGTCTAGTAAAGAAATTACCAGACCCCTGGCTCTGAAAAAAGGCCTGTGGCAGCCATGACAATGGGCAGAGTCTCTGGGATACAGACTGGGGACCGTCGGGGGTGGTGGGGTGCTGAAGGTGGTGGGGTGGTGGGGCTCCAGGGAGCCCGTCCCAGGGTACGTCTCCTGGGAGTTCCAGAATAAGAATAACGAGCACAAGGGAGAGGCAAGGTTTATAGATCGAACAGCTAAGAAATCATCAGTTGAAGAAAGGTAGGAATCTTCTGGTTACAGGTATTTTCCATGTTCCCAACAGGAGAAATAAAAATAAATGTACACATAGCCTCGTGTCCTAAAGTGCGCAGCATCATGTAGCCGCCTGCGAAAAGGGACAGTGCCCGCAGGGAAGGAGACACTCCCCTGAGAGCCAGCAGCCCTCCTGCTGCTCGGGCCCCCACACCAGAGAAGGCACAGTGAGGGAGAAATGCAGATTGTAGTGAGGGAACGGGACAATTGGTCACAATTGCAGGGTCACATCCACCAAGAAGATGTAACAGCCGTGGGCTTGGACGCACCTAACGCAGTGACCTAAAAATACTAAAGGGAAGAAATACAGTGTAGCGAAAACCAGACCGAATTCCCAGGAGAAATTGACAAACGCTCCATCAGAGAGGCGTACTTTAACACAGCACTGCCAGACACAGGGGCAGGCAGGCGTGACCGAAAGCCAGACGCTGGAAGGGGGTGACCAGGCCGGGTCTCACGGCTAGCGTCCCCCTGCTGACACTTGCGTTCACGCGGAAGGCTTATGAAAGTCGCCTTGTTCCTGGTCACAAGGAGATCTTGGGAGATTTCCTTTTTCTTTTCTTTTTCTTTTTTTAAAGATTTTTCTTTATTTATTCAGCAGACAGGGATCACAAGTAGGCAGAGAGGCAGGCAGAGAGAGGGGGAAGCAGGCTCCCCGCTGAGCAGAGAGCCCGATGTGGGGCTCGATCCCAGGACCCCAAGATCATGACCCGAGCCAAAGACAGAGGCTTAACCCACTGAGCCACCCAGGCGCCCCGAGATTTCCAAATCTATTGGAAATAGATCTATTGGGCAAACCATGTTTGTATTTTTAAATCATACAATTAGATTTTAAATCAGCAGTAGAAAGAAAAAGACATTTAAGAAGGCCTGAAATTTTAAATTCACTTCTAAGTAGCACACGCATTAAACGTGCAAAGGGAATAAAAACTACAAAGTAATCAGAACTGAATAAAAAGAGGATTTCGTATCAGACTTTATGCAGCATGGCTGGAACAGTCCTTGGAGAGAAGAGGATAGGTTTAGATACATGTGCTGGAAAGTAAGAAAGAGAACTGGCCAGGGAGGCTGACGGTGCCGGAAGGACAGAAGAGCTGCTGGTCCTGGGTGTGGAGGGAAGGCCGAGGAGCCGGTGTGCTCAGGCTTCCTCCCTCCTTTGCCTGTAAACCGCCCCCGCCAGGAGCCACGCGGGCTCAGGGCCAGCTTGTTTGTAAACCCCAGCCCCTCTCCGTGGGAGATAATGAAGAAGACTGAGCAGATGAACACAAATGAAACCTGCTTCTTTGAAGATAGAGAAACCTAGCAAGACTCAGGGAGGGAAAAAAGAGGATACTTGTAACCATGTTAAGAGCAAAAAGAGTCTGTGACCCCAGAAGGCGGATGTGTTACTTAAATCATCATGGGATGGTAACAGCTTTATGCTGATAGATACATTAGAAGAACGAGAAGAGATAGATACACACGGTTGTTTGTGAAATCAGGGAAATTACTAAAACCAGCTCTGGAGGATAATCGAATCATCATTTCCAAAAGGCATCAGGCCCAGGGAGCCTACAGGCAAGTGTTACCAAGTCTTCAAGAGTAGATGATCTTAAAGTATGGCAGAGAATAGGAAAAAAGAAGAAACTATTTAGCTTATTTTGTGAAGTTTATCCAGATTTTTTTATAGGCAAGTTTTACCAAACTATCAAAGAATAATCTTACACAAAATTTTTTAGAGAATGGGAAGTAACTGGGGGCGGGGGGGTAAGGGGGTACTCATGAAGTTATCCTGATAACAGCCAAGTGTTGGCAAGGATGTGGGTGCTGGGCCGTGGTCAGGAGCACGGGTCTAGAGCCAGTCCCCCCCACCAGCATCTGGGCTGCGTGGCCACAGGTGTCGGCCTCCTGGGAGCACTTTCCTGAGGTGGTTGGGAAGGTCCCAAGCACTTTGCATTGTCCTTGGCACAGAGTAAGTGTGTTATTACGAAGACTGTCCTGTGCTTCCGAAGGGAGTGCAGACTGGTAATTGTAGCCCTGGAGAAGCCCACCTGCGTGTGTGTAAGGAGACAAGTAGACGAATGTTCATCGCAGCGTTGTTTCTGATAGCAATACTTCGTCTACTAAGAGGAGGAAGCATCGTGATGTAGTCCTGTGCTGGCGTGCTGCCCAGCAACGAACAGGGTAGACTGTGCAGCACATGAATACATCTCAGAGTCGTCAATATTGAGCAAAAATAGCAAGTGGCAGGATATATGTGATACACCTGCCCTGTTTGAACACCTGTGCGGTAACACAGTGTCGTGCTCACAGAGACTTAAATATGTAGCGAGAAATGAAAGTACATGAGGGGGGCGCCTGGGTGGCTCAGTGGGTTAAGCCTCTGCCTTCGGCTCAGGTCATGATCCCAGAGTCCTGGGATCGAGCCCCACATCGGGCTCTCTGCTCAGCAGGGAGCCTGCTTCCTCCTCTCTCTCTGCCTGCCTCTCTGCCTACTTGTGGTCTCTATCTGTCAAAAAAAAAAAAAAAATCTAAAAAAAAAAAAAAAAAGAAAGTACACGAGGGATGATAAAGTCTAGATCTGGGAGGGGGGGGCACCGTTTTCAGATATTTGACTTTTAAAGCATTGGAAGGTGTGAGAAAGGTTGACAGGAAGTAATCCAAAGAGGCACAGGAGGGACCTGGGACTCGCACGTGTGTGTGTGTCTGTGGAAGTTGCGGAGCTGAAAAGTCAGTGACTTCCTGACCGTGGTTGGGCCCCAGAGCCTGGGTGTCGTCACGGCCCCAGCAGCAGGCGCTCGGTGCTTGGTGACTCTGCAACCCCAGAACGCACATTTAGGGTTGAGTGGCTTGGCACCATCTGTGACCCAGCCCATCCTCCGCTTCTCGGACGGCCTGGGTGGGGGATGGAGAGCGCGCCCTCTGGTTGGTGGCGACTGAGCCGCCGGCCCAGCGCGGGCGCTCCTGAGCCTTCTGGGAGGTCTAGCTCGTCTACCTTGAATGTCAGGTGCACTTGTGCACGGGTGTTGGCCCACCAGGTGTCTGTCGTGCACGGTTTTAGATGTGTACGTCGCCGGTGCCCTCGGCAGTAACAGTGAGCCCTTCGAGTGTTACATGCACGTTCTTCAGTGAAGGGAAGACACCTGCATTTCTTTCCTGGGACCTTACGAGACCTGGGGGAAAAGCACCCCAGCCCTCGTAGGACAGGAACTTGCTCACTTGTAGGGCTATTTGTTAAGCTCTACTTTCGTGCTGTTGTGCTCAGCCAATGTGTAGCCAACTTAAGGACGGCGAGATCTGGCCACCCGTGGTCGGGAGGGGCCGGCATCTGAGGGTGGCATGGGCGAGGCTGATGGGCTGGCTTGCTTTCTGGTGTTGTCCCTGGACATGTCTAACGGTTCCTGTATTGCTGAAGGTTGGGAAAAGTGGAAACATTCCAGCAGGCACAACTGTGGACACGAAAATCACCCACCCGACCGAATTTGACTTCTACCTGTGTAGCCACGCTGGCATCCAGGTAAGGACCCGGGGTCCCTGCTGCCCTGTCTCGGTGTCCCTGTGACATGGTCTGCATGCTCCGCAGACACTCGCAGAGCACAAGCCCCATGCAAGGCACTCCCAGCGGCGGGGTAGGGGAGGTGGGCAGGGGGCCAGGGAACAGGTGAGGGTGGGGACCGCGGGGTCCTAGGGGCGGGGAACGGGCCCACTGGTGTGCTGTTCCCATTTAAGGGTTCCCATTTAAGACGAGACGAGGTCAGGCAGGAGTAGAGGGTGCAAAGGCCAGGTATGGTGGTGGGGCCCCAGGGCCGTGCCGTGCGCTCGGAGCTCCGTGAGCTAGCTGAGAGCCGAGCGGTGATGAGGCCGCGGAAGGCACGGCCTGTGACAGAGACGCTGACTCTGAATCAACTTCCCGCTTAGCGGGGTTCAGCCTTGTCTCCCGCCACACACGTTAGCGGGATGTCTGGGGAAGGTCACCCCGTAGCCCCTTGTCACCTCAAGACTCCTGTCCTGTGTCGGTGAAGAGGCCCACGGGTATTTGTCCCTGAGTGTTCTCCCACTGAGTCCTCCGGTGGGGGGTTGACCGAAGCCTGGCTTCTCAGCAGGGCCCTGTGTAGGTGAGTTCTGGACTTCTCGCTGGCACCTTCACTCCTCTGATCCTCTGATCTGCTTTTAGGGAACAAGCAGGCCTTCCCACTATCACGTGCTTTGGGATGACAATCGTTTCTCTTCCGATGAGCTGCAGATTCTCACCTACCAGCTGTGTCACACCTATGTGCGTTGCACGCGCTCTGTGTCCATCCCGGCGCCAGCATACTACGCCCACCTGGTGGCCTTCCGGGCCAGGTACCACCTGGTGGACAAAGAACATGACAGGTGAGTGGTGGGCCTCTCCTGGCCAGGGGCACGGCAGGGGTTGCCTCTGAAACCGGCTTTGGGAGCTGCATCTTTAGGCTGGGAAGCAAGGGGGCCGCGGGGGCTGGAGCCGAGTGTGACACAGACGCCAGGATGCCCATGTCTTCACCACCTGGTAGTTCTGTGGCTGCCTCCCCAGACAGCTGGTGCCTCGTCTTATCATCTGTGCGGTCCCTCGTGGTGCATTAAAGGCTGCACTCTCTCTCTGTGTCTGTCCTTCCATCCCCACAGTGCCGAAGGAAGCCATACCTCCGGGCAGAGTAATGGACGAGACCATCAAGCGTTGGCGAAGGCCGTCCAGGTTCATCAGGACACCCTGCGCACCATGTACTTTGCTTGACGTGTTTTAGTGTTTACGATCGTGTACCGAGTTGGATTCACATGAGACCAGCTACACTCAGACCAACAGATGCCCAGCCCTTCCGTGACAGCCAGCATCGAACATGAGACGTCATTGATTTTAGTAGATTCTCCATTTTCCAGAATGCCTTCTGTCCCAGATTTCAACTTGGATTTTGAACTGCAGACCTGTATGAGACCCCATTGTCGTAGGAAATATGGTTTGCCAAAATCTATAAGCTGCTTATTAAAATAGAGTCCCGTGTTTCCTAAAAATCTCCTAAAACCAGTCTATGAACTCAGGGCTTTAAAACATTTTTAATTTATTTGGTCATTCAATTTACTTGTTTTTAACACATGATTCTCTATGAAATTGATGGGCTCAAACTAGCTGTGAACATTCTCAGAGAGTGAAAGTGACACAGAGCACGGCTGTGGTTTTAAAGCCTTGAGCATTCTGAGGTGGCCACTAACGCTTATGTCCGAGTGATTCGAGCGTGCTCCTGACAGGGCTGCCACCAGCTCTTCGGGACCGAGGGCAGGTGGCCCGCCGAGGCGCCCACGGGTGTCTAATACCGCCACCGCCCGCCTCTCACTCAGCTTGAGATAAGGAGCGGGGGCAGAAGATGGGCCGTGTGTGTTTACAGCATTTCTAGGTCCAGAGAGATTGGCAGACAAGTGCCATTTTAATAAAAATTTATTTAAAAAAAGAAAAAAAGACAATATGCCGACAGTCTAATCATAAGATTTGTCCTACAGGACTGTGACATTTATTTTCCAAAGTTTCTAAAGAATACGGGTCTGTGGTGATAAATACAGTACAATCCTTTTTCACTGTTATGTCTTTAATGTAAGAGAAAAAATATATATATCTGGTTTGCAGTATTAATGTGATAGATAGATGCTGTTTTTTCATTTTATTGACTACGGGGTGCTTCTTGTGATCTGTTCACCATATCAAGAGTGTTGTGGAGCCTGGAGGCTGGACCACCGCCTGTGGTTCTCAGTGCTGACGTACGGGAGTAAGCAGCTGAGTCAGTGTGACCGCCACCCGCCGTCCCCCCCCATGTAGCCTGCGTAGCCTGTACCTGCGGGAGGACCGGGCACGGGCATGGCGGCCCTGCCCCACCTCCTGTCCCCCGTGTTGCTCAGCCGATTAAGCACAAATGGAATGTATTTTCTTCCATTCCTGGAAAACCAGTCCTTGTGTCAGAGTGTCCCTCTCTCTGTGTGTGGTTCTGTTAGACGAGTTTCATAGGATCTATGCACTGAAAGGCGCAGAGGCTGGTGGTTGGCGGCGAGCCCCTGCCCTTGGAGGTGGCTGACTGCAAAGCCGGCAGGAGAGATTGGCGTCCTGGGCCCCAGACGTGGGTTTGCCCGTCTAGAAACCGTTGCACTAAGCGTGATGCCATGGACCACTTGGAAAGGTAACAATGGACAACTCTGTTTGTGCTCAGTGGGCTGTTGGTCCTTGTAGACGATTTAAAAAAAAAAAAAAAAATCAAGTCCACGTTTAATGTAGAGGTTCTGGGAAGGAGACGCGCCTTCCCCTCGTGCTGCTTTGTGCTCTGTCGGTTTCCCTCTCCCTGCTGAAGGCCTCCCCAAGCCCAGCCCGACTCTTACCTCTGGCCCTGCGGTGGAGCGAGGGCCCCGGGGGCGCCCTGCGCTGGAGAAAGCGCCCACCTCTGTTTCTGGTCTGCGGGCTCTGGGGCGCGGCCGGGGCGGGGCACCGCGGGCAGAGCTGTGACGGGCACTCGGCCTAGGTTTGGGCGGCGATGACAAAGGGGCAACTATTATTTGTGAAGATAAATACTCAGAGTGGCGTGTGCGTGTCTGAGTGTGTGTGTGGGTGTCTCACTGATGGCGTGAGCCTCTTGCTGTATCTTTCTTGTTTTGGGGTTTGGTTGGTTGTTTTTTTTTCCTTTTACTTTCTCTCTCTCTCTCTTTTTTTTTTTGGTCTTTTTAAAACGAACAGAAGCCTCTGCTCTAAGAAATGTTGCAATTCCCTGTCGTCTTATTGGCAATTGGCACTTTCTCCTCTTTTCAGAAGAATACCGATACACTCTTGGCTTAAATTCCCAGAGCATTCAAGCTAAGGAGGAAATCTTTTCACTAATACACTTTTGGAATCTGAAATTAGGTTAGTTTTCAGCCGTTTTTAGGATCATCTAGAACCATGTGTCTCAAAGGTGTGTTTCTGCTCCTTGCAACAGGGTCCTGGCGGTCGGGCCGGTGGTGGTGCTCGGTAAAAATGCAGACTCCCGAATCCGATTCTCCAGGGTTGGGGCTGGGTGTCTGTATTTTATACCGTCAGCCGGGGCTCCAGGGCTGCCTGAAGTCAGAGGGGTCCTCTCCCCTGAGCCCCAGGGGGCCAAGCAGGGAGGAGCCGTTGGGCAGCGCAGGCAGACTAAGCTAACACCCAGGAAAGATCGCGGGCTGGCAGAAGATTAGACCTAAAATGTGTTTTATCGTTTTGAAGGAGGGGTTTTCCTTTTAGTGGGCCAAAGTTCTTTGAGAAGGGTACTTTTTATAGCCCTGTGCTTGTTTTATAAAACTTTTAATACTAAAAGCATTAATAGATCAAACGTCTCCAGCTAGGTGAGCCGCATACCTTTGTACACATCTGATGATTCAGAGTTCAAGTGGCTGTAGTTACAATTTCTCAGGTAAATAACTGGTTTCCCAAATTTCTACCAGTCCCCCCATTATTAGGATAAATTTTGAGACAGCATAAAACCTCAAAGTGCAGTAGACTAAGCCTGAGCCCTGTTCCCGTGGAAGCCAAAAGGGGCCCTTGCCCATCTCTGACGACGCTTGCTCCCACCCCAAGGGCTCCCTCGGCCCACATGGCCCGGACAGGGCTCCCCGGCTCCCAGGGTCGCCCGAGACTTGGGGCCCTCACAGAGGTGAGAGGCGTCTGCATGCCCGCTTTGCCCTATCCCCGCTGTTAAGTAAGGTGTGCCTTGCTTTAAGCAAACTGAATGTGAAAATTATGGTGTAGAAACCTGGATTCATTTGAAAGAAAAACTGGGATTTCTCTCATCTCTTTAAAAAGATGTCTCCTGATCAGATTCTCATACTGGTACTCTCCCTAGTCGATTTTAAATGTCACTTGAAGAAGAAGGACCGTTCCCAGCCCTTCCCCACTGTCCATTCTGCCCACCCTGCCATCACCCCAGTGACAGAGCAATGAAGGAAGCCCAGGGGAGCCGCGGACGGCCGCCGGGTGTGGAAGCGCCCTTTGGTGACACTGAGAGTCCGTCCTGTCCGTGTTCTCCAAGCTCAGACTTCCCTAGTTCCAATACCTTTTTGTAAAACTGGGCATACCTGTACTTTCAGAGAGGGATTGTTTGGTTTTGGTTTTGAGAAGTCTTTGCATACACACTTGTGCTACAACACTGTAGGGTCTGCTTGGACATTGTAAGGTGACGTTGCTGTTTGGTCGTGCCGTCACACTCCCTTGGGTGAATGTTTGCGCTCTAGAGCCACAGGTGACCCCTGGCCACTGGGCGGGCTGGCCTGAGAGGGACGCGGCAGGAGCGGAGTGAGGTCCACGCTCCAGGAGGTTGGCCGTGGTCACTGCTGTCACTGATGTTCACCCCTGGTTACGGAGTGCTCGTTGGAAAAGACAGTTTGAGTTCAGTTCCTGCAGCAGGGTTGGGGTGGGGGGGTGGGGGGGGTTTTACTGATGTTATATTATATGTTATTTTTATTGTCGTTAAATGCAAATGTTGCTATTTATTTTTTTTCTTTCTGCTCTGGTTTGATTTGGCCGATGTGGATATGCCCAGTGCACATGGTACCTGATGGACATGATAGAAATTATTTTCCCCAACTTTTATAAATTGCCTGATGTTTACCTGCAAGTTTGCCGGATGATTTATTTTTGAAAGCCACAAATGTAATTTTTCTGGATGAATTGTTTTTCTTATATACGTGGCAATGTAATTTTACACTGATCTGCAGGGTGATTTAAATTTTATTTTTACAAGGCAGTTTTTCAGTCAAATTATATATTTGATACGATATGCTAAGGGTGGACCAGCCAAGCGTCCTGCAGTAGCTGGGACCCACACTGTCTCTGGGGGGTCTGGGGGACTGGGACGGCTTCTCTCAGTGGCTCGTCGTCGTCACAGAAGCACTTGGCCTGTTCCGGAGCCGTCAGGATCTGGATGTACTCCTTCAGTGGGACTGTGAGCTGGTGGACAGTTAAAAGGATTTTTCCCGGGCATTTTCCTATACCTAAGGCAGTTCCATTGGGAGGAGCTTTAGAAGCTGACACAATCCAGACAGTGGACAATCCCCGTGGCCCAGACAAGCCATAGCGATCTCCCTGTGACCTGACTCCTCTCTCGCGCTCACGAGGAAGGGACGTACAGTGAACAGAAACTTCTGCAGTGTTTGTGCGCCTCACTTCGAGAATGCAGATATCTTTATTTATGTTTTAAGCCCTTCCCCAAGGTAACCGACAAGCTTCTCTTGAGCGGTCCTGCCTGCAGGCTCAGCTGCAGTGACGTGTTTCCCGTGTAGACGCGGTGCACGTGTGCTCTCTGACAGGGCTGTCTGTGTGACACACACAGGCGGACTCTTTTGTAAGGAAAATTTTCAACTCCGGATAATTGCACTGATTTTTTTGACAACTTCCTTTTTATTGTGTCCAACTTTGCATCTGCTGTACTTGCTTGAAATGACTGTAAATAGATTTAGGTTAGCAACAAATGATGCGAACACAGCACGCCGCTCTGTCGCAGGGACCGCCGTGTTCTCAGTATTACGTGTCACAGCCGTGCGGGCTCCGCTCTGCCTCCGTAGCCGCGTGTCTGTGGACCGTTCATGAAGGACAAAGGAGCCTCGTGTTCTCATTTCTCAGAAGGGAAGTTCGCAATCTGTTGAAAGGAGAGTCTGCTCTCCCCTTGAGGTCCGAAGATTGGATCTTAAAGGCTGCATTATAAATCCCGTGAACACTTTTTTGGTCTGTTTAACTCCTTGTGGTTTTCTGTGGCTCCTTAATGCGTCTCCTTCCAGTCCCATCCAGCATCGGGCGGTCTGGGTAGGAAGCGTCTGTGCGGCCGGTGTGAACGGGCCGCGAGGGCTGCCTCACTTCTCTCCGGTCCAGCCGTCATCCTGAAGCCATGAGATCACTGTGGTGTCTGTCTGAAGTGACATTTGCGGCTTCACCCGTAGATGCTAGCAAGACCTGAAAGCCAGGCCTGGTGGTTTTTGCTAGATTAGAAGCACGTGCTCAAGCCCACCGTGTGCCCCTGTTTGCGGTCAGGCTAGCCAGAGTCAGACCCGAACCGCTCATGTAGCGTCGACGCCATCGTGGTGCCCTCCCTGATGCTTTTCTTTGGTTACGTTTTGCCATTTTATTGTCAAAAGTGAATGTATTGGCTTAGCCAAATCACTACAGAGGGTGGTTTCTACATACCTTTTAGTTTTAAAAAAAAATAAATGCAGATAAAGGCTACCTCTGAATTCTCCATAGGTTCATGTTTGCTCTTACGTGTAGCTATCCACACTGAAAACAGCCAAAATGTTGCCTGAAAAAACTGAATGGTGACCATCTCTCTCTTCAGTTCTGGCTTGAAAATGTGTGTGCCATACTGTGACCCGCGGGCAGTCCCCCACTCCCCCTCGGAGGCATCAGCGGTGCACCGGGGACTCCTCGGGGCTGCCCAGCTCTGTAGCGTGGGGTTCTAAGCAGCCAGAGTGAAGAAAATGGAAAAGCCTCCTGCATGCTGGGGGCAGCTCCATGCAGGGCCGTGGGTGGGGGAGCCTTGAAACGCCAGCTGTCCTGGCCCTCCACTTTCCTGTAAGAAAGCACTTTCTTCTCTGCTTTACTCATGAATGGGTTGAAAATGGCTCCCTCTGCTCTCTTCTCCCTTTTTATACACTCTGAAATCACGAAGGTGCTGAAACACCAACTCTCGTGCAAATAATGCGTCTAAAATGGCTGTATGGTTTCAAAAAACCACGCAGTTGTAGTTGACCTTTGACTTTGGAACCTTGAGTTGCTCTCTCTCCCTCCTTAACCGTGATCTAATGTTCTGTTCAAGTCCAAGGCCCTTTGTTTGAAAGGAACACAGGGTCCGCAGCCAGCACTGAAGTAGGAGTTCCCACTGCCGGCACCCTGGGTCCTCGGAGGCTGACTTACGGGCAGTCACCCTGAGACAGACCGTTAGCTCAGAATACCCCTCCTCGTGAGTAACCACTTTGCTGTCAGAATGTCCCTACCCCACGCACTGTGTGTGGGTCCGCTGGTGTCACCCTCTGCCTTCTTCACGTCGTCTTTAGGTTGTCTGCATTCTCTCATCTTTGGAAGGTTCGAATTTGCTCCAGGACGCCTCCATCCGTTTGCTCTTAAATCCCCGAGGGACGGGCCGGTGGTTTTGCAGTTGGAGACGTCTGGGTGTGCGGAGGTTGCTCTGTTGTCTCACTGGACATTCATCAGACACTGACCTTGGCCCAGAGAGGTACCAAATATAACATTACCTGCAAGTTTTTGCCTTCAGCAGAGTTGCTTTGGGTTTTGATGCTTTTCATGCTACATGGCGTGCTTTACTTCTGAAAGAGCTAAGTGTCCTTTGCGGTCTTTCTAAGAACGTTCTGTACTTCTGCGGTGACTGTGTTCTGTCGATAGCAGCCCGCCCAGGATGCACGGATGTGTAGGGTGGGTCCCCACGACATCTGCTGACCTGCTTCTGGAACTACTCGGGTGCTCTGGGCTGGCCTCATTTTTAACCCAAATCCCATTCAGGGTATGTCGGGGGACACTGCACAGTGGCTCTCTCCTTGATTCAGTAACATGAACTCTTGAACTCGGACCTACCCATCAGCTCTTTGCATCCCTGTCTCCAGAATCCTGGGGTAGGCCTCTCCTATCATCTTTGCATTCGTGAAAAATTATTTGAAAAGAGGGAACTGAAGATTACTGGTGCTTTTGTCAACACTTTTCTCTTATTGGTTGATGTGAAGAATGTAGCTGTGTTAACATCTTTAAATGCCCTTGGTGGTATGAGTCCCATCCCCTTTTTGGGGGGTGGGAGGAAGCTGAATTGTCTTCTATTTACAACCTCCTTGGATTTGAGTGGTTCAGAGTTAAAGCTAAAACACCAAATATTAACTCTTCCCCCTCAAGTGTCTCCAGGAACTAGATGTTGAGGCTGCCCTCCATTAAGTACCTTCTGAATCAAGGTCCTTAAAACCCTGAGTTGATCCCAAGCACACCCCACACAACCGGGCGAGGGGGTACGATGCAGGCTGACTGCTCGGCTCCTTGGCCCCACCTGGCATAACTAGGTTCTCGCGTTGGGGAGCCGAGGCTCCTGGGAACTCCAGAGACTGCGGGAACAATCCCGGGGCGGGGGTGGGGGGAGAGCAGGTCCCTTGGACCCTGGAAGCAGGTGGCACCAGGCTTTCCTCTGGTCTCCATCAGTACCAGACTGAGCGTGTTCTGGAAGACCCAGTCTCAGCCTCTGTGCCTTTAAAGTCTGGCTTTAAAGTCCTCAGTGTCCTTTTGGAATCACGCTGGGGCTGTGTTTTTAGTGGAAAGTAAGCCTGTACCGTTCCGCTAGTCATTTGTTGACCTTCTGCCTTTGAAGCCATGTCCGCTCCTCAGCTTCTAATTCGGTAAACTGTGATGCCGGCACACTGTCTCGTGTCGGACATCGTGAGGTTCTCGTAGTCCCGGGACTTCCTTCCCAAGTCCACGTCCATTGGGATTCCAGGAAATCAGCGTAAGATCCATCTCTTATTAGTCGGGCATGGCCCGTGGCCATCAGCAGAACCTGGTGGTTTTGTCCTCAGCGTCACTCGCCAAGCGGATTCCGTGTCCTGGAACTAGGTTTTTAGAAGAGGAACTGGAGTTGTGTCTCTGAGTTGTGTGTGGAGTCCTCAGACATAAGGTGCTAGTCAGTCCCCCTGTCCTTGTTTGGGGGCGCTTTGCATTCCTGCCGCTCTGCTCTGTGCCGTGCGGGGAAGCTGCTGGGGTGGGTGAGCTGTGCGCAGGGGACTGCCCTCTGTGACATGCCGAAGACACAGTTTTGATCTCTTCACTTTTCCAAGCCAACTTTGAGCAGTTTCTTGGCTGATGGTCTAATTTAAAAAACAAAAAACAAAAAAACCACCCTTACCCATGAAGGGTCAGGGGGTCTCCCTGTCAAGGGATGATTTTATTGCTTTTAAGTGGGGGAAATAATCCAATATTATTTACTTTAAAAATGCATAGAAATTCATTCTTGGCGGCTCCTCTTGGCCCTTCCTTCTACCTTCTCTCCATTTTGAAAGGCAAACGTCTTTCCCTCGGCGGAGGTGCTGGCCGCAGAGGGGATGGCACGTCGCTAATTTTGGTTCCTCTTCAAAGCCAAACATACACGTGACCGAAATCCTGAAAGTACGTAGAGTTGAGCACTAAACTGAAGTTTGAGTCCTGAGTTTGATAGTAGATTTTAATGTAGTTGTTGAAGGTATGAATTCATGTTTTATAACTGTAGAGGCAAGTGAGTTTTTACTTTTTAAAAAGTTTTAAGAGAATAATTTTAAGTTTCCGTGCAGCAAAGTGGCTGCGCATTAAATACAAGAAAAGAACGTAGTGTCTACATGCAGGTTTGTCTTACCTCTGGTACACGCAGATGACGTACCTGA